ATAAAGAAAAAAAAATGAGGGAAATCTTGCACATTCAAGGAGGTCAATGCGGGAATCAAATTGGTTCCAAATTCTGGGAAGTAATCTGCGACGAACACGGGGTTGATCCAACCGGCCGTTACAGGGGAGATGGCTCCAATGATCTTCAACTGGAACGCATCAATGTCTATTTCAATGAGGCTTCCGGTGGCCGTTATGTTCCTCGGGCTGTCCTCATGGATCTCGAGCCCGGCACCATGGACAGCATCAGATCCGGCCCTTACGGCCAGATCTTCAGGCCCGACAACTTCGTCTTTGGTCAGTCTGGTGCCGGTAATAACTGGGCTAAAGGACATTACACTGAGGGTGCTGAGTTGATCGATGCCGTTCTCGACGTCGTGCGTAAAGAAGCCGAAAATTGTGACTGCTTGCAAGGTTTCTTTCTCCCACCCTTCTTTCATTCATTTTTCTTTTTTTTTGATTTCTTTTCACCTCTTCTGCTCATTTTGTCAAATGGCAATCGAGGTGTTTGGTGTTCTCTACGTGATTCTCTCCCTCTCTCTCTTTCTCAAATATTTCTGGGTAGGCTTGATTGACAAGCTGTATTAACATTAACTTACGCGGTGTTCTTATTTTGCTGCTTTGAATCTACAGAAAATGATTGCGTGGTTGTGATGTTTTCTGATATGGTATTTGTTTGATGATAGAGTCTGTCATCGATAGGACGAATTGATGGTGTAGAGTATACGTTTTATGTCGTGTGCGCACCTCTGACTTTTGGATGTAAACAAATTTAGTTGCATCGTACACTTTAAATGTTCTAGGAAAAGGATCAGCCAACAGTCCTCGCGTTTTTGAATGGGCTGGTGGAATATCTGAGGTATTTCTGGATCTGTAGGATCGCCTTTTTCTGGGAGATAAAGTAGGTGCGAAAAGGCGCCAAAGTTGTTAGCTATCTTTGGAGATGAGATTTTGTAGTACTACGTTTTGTTGCTGTCCTATCTACCAGTGAAGAGAAGTGGGCTCAGTCCAGTTGTAAATTAAAGATTTTTTTTTTGAATGGTGCCCTTGGAGGTGGGGGAGATGCTCAAAAGTTTACTCATCCTTGTCATGATCTGGGGTTTAAAATTTCTTCTGCTAGCAATAATGCTAATTTAAAGTATTTAACTTGTGTTCTTTTGTCTTGGATCGGGTTCTAAGGAGAGATTTTGCATAATTTCTTGTCGTTTGACCATTTTCCACGGTATTTTTATTTTGCCACTTGCTATTGTACTCTATTGGAGGGGCCCACTTTTTGTCTTAACTGGGGCTGCTTGCAAGTCATTAGGACAAATATCTCCATGCTACAATTAGTTATTCCATTGTTCAAACTTGACCTTCTGGTTTCATTTATAATTGCAATTCCTTCAGAAGTACTATGGATCGACCGACGCTTTCTGCCATAAATTCCCTAACCGTACAAAGCAGATGCCTTGACAAGAGATTTTACCAAGTTTGTATAGCAATGGTAGTCATCCTGGAGCCATTTCAATATTCTACCCTAGATCTACAGGATTTTTGCCTGAGGTCTGATAGTTTTTTGTCAACTTAACTCGAATGAAAGTTCAGTTCTAGGTTTAGCTGTCTTTACAGAATCATGAACAAAAGGAAGGTGCTTCATGTGGGGGAAAAAAAGGTCTTACCGGCTAATCTTTTAAAAATATTGTTGCTGTCTGACTGATATACTTGCTGGATACCGTAATTGAATGGCTGAGATTGAGGTAATATTCGATGCATTAGTGCCCTTTCGGCTCGAGGGATTACATTTTTGTGATCGACCAAGATGGGAGGGTGGGGGGACTATTTTGCCCTCACCAATTGTCATGGAACTTGTGATATGGATGGGCTTTGGTTAACAGTTTCCCTTGTTTTCTGTTGGGGGCCAGGATTTCAAGTGTGTCACTCGCTTGGAGGAGGCACTGGCTCTGGAATGGGAACCCTATTGATTTCCAAGATAAGAGAAGAATATCCAGACAGAATGATGCTCACTTTCTCAGTTTTCCCCTCACCAAAGGTTTCTGACACTGTTGTAGAACCCTATAATGCCACCCTCTCAGTGCATCAGTTGGTGGAGAATGCAGATGAATGCATGGTCCTTGACAATGAAGCACTTTATGACATTTGTTTCAGGACCTTGAAGCTTAGCACTCCAAGCTGTAAGTGAATCGTTCATTGCTGGCATTAACAGTTTAATAATTAATTCCTTTCTCTGCTGCATAGGCCAAAGCTTTGCTACTAAGTGAATGATAAGGTCGTTTCTTGTTTGCTTGTAGTTGGTGATTTGAACCATTTGATTTCGGCAACTATGAGTGGGGTTACCTGCTGCTTGAGATTCCCAGGTCAGCTCAACTCAGACCTGCGGAAGCTGGCTGTGAACCTGATTCCTTTCCCTCGTCTTCACTTTTTCATGGTGGGATTTGCGCCACTTACTTCCCGTGGATCGCAGCAATACATATCTCTCACTGTGCCAGAGCTCACTCAGCAAATGTGGGACGCCAAGAACATGATGTGTGCAGCTGATCCGCGACATGGGCGCTACCTCACTGCATCCGCAATGTTCAGAGGGAAGATGAGCACCAAAGAGGTGGATGAACAGATGATCAATGTGCAGAACAAGAATTCATCGTACTTTGTAGAGTGGATCCCAAATAATGTCAAGTCAAGTGTTTGTGATATTCCTCCTACTGGGTTAAAGATGGCATCTACTTTTGTCGGAAATTCTACCTCAATCCAAGAGATGTTCAGGAGAGTGAGCGAGCAGTTCACTGCCATGTTCAGGCGCAAAGCCTTCTTGCACTGGTACACTGGAGAAGGAATGGATGAAATGGAATTCACAGAAGCTGAGAGCAACATGAATGATTTGGTGGCAGAATATCAGCAGTACCAGGATGCCACTGCAGAGGACGAGGAAGAGTATGACGATGGTGCCGACGAGGCGTATGAAAACTAAGAGCAGATGAGATCATATCACGAGAGAGTGCGAAAGGCCTTGTTTATCTGCTGCTGTTGAGTGGACGATGCTTGCTTCTGTCTGCATGTGTTTTTTTCCATTTTCCTGAATCTCTTCAGGATATGTATTTGTCGTTATTTTTTTTTTAGTTTCCGTTGTTTTGATTGAAGAACCTTTTCGTCGCTTGTCATATTTGCATATAATTTGCGTCGTTCAGTATGCCCATTAAGTTACAAATCCAGCCGGTGGAAATGAGTGAAATATTGCAGAGAGAGATATTTGGTGTGAATAACGTTAAATGGTCCAGGAATCAGTACTACCACCACTTATTGTTTTCTGTGAAATTCGAGAATGTAGCCTTGGCAGGCAATGAATGAAATCTCTGGCGTCATTATTGTTTTCACAGGGAAGACTTTTGAACCATTATATATATAGATTCATTAATGGGTGTCTGCTGCTGAAGGTAGCTCGACAGGCAATGATTATATGAAAGACCATAATAATTATCTTCTGCAAAAATGAATGATTTAACCTGGCCGATTAGCAGATTGTTTAACAACCACAACCACAACCACGCCCCACTTCACACCCTTGCACGACACAAGTCTCAATTTGTTTATTCTCTCGATTATAATACTGCAAAATTGTTTTAAGGAAACCAACTGAAAAAAAAAAGCTGTCAAATTAATTTAATTTAATACGGCGTAAAAAAGGATATTGAGACGAAATTATTCGCCGGAAATGTGGAACTATACTGAAAACAAACAGGAAGGGTGAAGGTGGTGGTGGTGATGCATCAGAGTCATGGAAGTAGTAGGAGGAATAAACATTGCTTGGCTTCGGATATCCCCAGCAACAAGCTTCTCATTATCCCAGATAATTAATTATCGTCATGTGCATCACCCTCTTTCACTAGCTATTAAATAAAACATAGACTGAAAAAAAAAAAGAAAAAGAAACACACTACAGTCTTCTGCAACCTGGCAATAAAATAACTCATGAATTAGCGGGGGTATCGGGGCAAGGAAGAGAAGGAGGAGGAGGCACAAAGAAGAGAATTGAGAGAGACGGATAGAGTTTCGGCACTCCTCCCCAATGAAAGTAGTCGAAGATTCTTTCTTATATACACGTGCCGAGCGACTGCCAAACCCTAGGTGGAGTTGGTGGTTTTTCATTTTGAACGAAAGATACCCACTTTGGGCTACATGTAAAATTTTTAGTTAATCCGCCAACTCCAGCCACTGGATAATGGACCAAAGATCTGTAGCCCGACACGGCCCATAGATGTTTGCATACCAAAAAAAAAATCTATTGCTGCAGCAAAGCCGGACAGCGAAACATATTTGCTTGAAGTCAAAAGCTATGTAAACCTTTTATTTATTTATTCATTTTTTAACAATCCACAACATCCCCCTGTACCGTCCTCCGCTACCTTAAGGGGAGCGGGAGGAGGACCGGAGGCCTCGTATATTTCTTCTTAAAATTCACTGGGTCTTGGTGCAATGACAAGCGAGAATCCCTTTAAATCTGTCTTGTCTTGTGTACGAGATAGGTTGAAAGTTGAAATCTTGCTTAGTACATTATTGTACAAGAAGCATAATCTCCTTTAGGATTCATTTGTTTGGATGGTGAATTATTTACAAAAAAAATTATTTACTTGCATCGTCAACAAATTTTTGAATCATTTTTTTATCTCATATATATATATACATATATATATATATATATATATATATCATCAAAAAAGTGCTATAGTACTAGTGTGGTTGTTTACCGAAATAAGAGAGGCAAACTAACCAAATTGAAGTATTCAACTAATCAATCTCTAGTAAGTAGATTCACCTTTCTTTTGCATTCCTTATTACTGGCACCATCATCATGTGCTCCATTTTGGTTTAAATGTCTTGCATAATTCGTCTGCTTCTGTTTTGACCAATGCTTTACAAAATGGATAGGCATGTTCAAATCAGGCCATTGCTTCTAGCTTTTTACTCCAAACCCATATAGTAATAGCAAATACCAACAAAAGAAGTTGGTGAAGGAAACATACCGCATTAAACTTTTAAGGAAATCCAGCAAGGAGTTGAAAGAAAATTCGTAAGACCCGTCTGGCATTGCCAAAAAACGAAAAAAAAAAATATCAAATAGAGGCCTCAACAATGATTCTCTTATCTACACTTGTGGACAAACCGACTTAATTAACCATGCCAACACATTCAAGGCTCCTTGAACAAATCATCTCCTAGATCAGATAGTTATTGATTAATACTAAAAACCAGAGTGCAAAATTAGAAAAATGCCAAAATCATCTTCTGCTTAATGGTGGCTTCATCATCACCGTCGTAGAAATACCCTTCAATTTGAGTCTCAGCACGGTTTTCTGTTGGTTTATCATCTTTCTGTTCCTCCTAGCTTCTGCAGCTTTGGTCCTGTTATCATCAGCAAAAGCCCTGCAATAATTCAAAGGCTGAGACGAGGCCACGCCGTAAGTACCCTCAGGAGTAGCACTAGCAGCAGCTCTGAGATTAGAAATGTCTGGTGGGCCCACGGCATTGACCTCACCCAATCCGGTACTGGACGAGAACGAGCTTGGTCTAACTTGCACTTGGCCATTACCATATGGGTGGAACAGCGCTGGTCTTATTATTGACTCTGCAGCCATTTGTTCCCCGTTGAATTGATTCTGATCGGGGTTCGCAAGAACATGGTAACTTCGGACGCAATTAAATCCAGGATTGAAGCTTTTGCCCAATTCCAAATTGGGCTCCTCTCTTGTACGATGAGTACTGGTAGACAGCACCTGTATAAAGCAAGGATGGATGATTACAATTATTAAGACGATGAATAGTAGTGCTACAGGGTGGAAACTGGAGAGAAAAGGTTATGGTACAGTAGAGAAAATCTAACGTCATCGTTATCAGAAAAGTGAAAGCGGGCTTTAAAAAAAGCCGTACGTACCTGTTGTTTCTTTGCTTTCAACTTCTTATTGTAAGCCAACAGCTCGTTATAGTAACTTTTCACGTTCTGTATCTCCTGTTAAATTAAATTCACCAAAGTAGAAAAACGGAGTCTGTCAATTCTCCGCTGGGAAGACCATTACCATCGAATCGAAATAGAACAAGAAACAGTGAGTTTGTTTGGATAGAGAGATTTTGGAAAAAAAAATTTTGCCTCACAAATTCCAATCACTTTATTATCTTTCCAATTACCTGTTTATCTCACACACATCACATCACAAAAAATATTATAATAAATATCTCAAATAAACTCTTATCCAAACAAAGTCAGTAAGTATTTCATACAAAATAGTACGCTCTAATGTGTGAAACCTAAGGAACGAGGGGGGTGTAGGCAGAACAAAAACGAAGACAAATGAATTTAGTACAGGAAAAAAAAAAAAGGCTAACCTTTATTAGCACTTCTCTGCTTTCAGCCAATCCCTCCATGCTCTTTCTCAACTGCTCCGTCAACAACGCCTGAAACGAAAGAATAGCAGTAGGTAAAATCACTGTTAATAAAACATAGTAGTGTTCGAACCAAAGGGAGAGAGAAAAAAAAATAGTAAAGCAATTAAACTAACTGGATAAGCAAAAACAGAGCCCTGTAACAGGGGTTTACGTCAAAGGTCAGAAACATAAGGAAGGGAGGAAACAAATTTGCAGAGACAATCCACGTCTTAAAACTCCGAGAAAACAAAAACCCATGAATCAAACGGCATATACGTACAACTAGTGGGAAAAAAGAAGATTAACAAGAAAAAAGGAAAGAAACTTACCCTCTTCTTGGATTTTTTGCGGCGGGAAGACTTGTCATCGGATTCAGAACTAGCATTAGCCGGGAAAGAGAGCGGCGTATCTGGGCTTGTAGAGCCAACAACTTTGACTTCTGGTTGACTAATCTTGTTGTTTTGCAGGGACTGCAATGGGGAAGAAGACTTCGAAAGGGTGGTTGCGGGATTATCAGGAGGAGGAGAAAGGCTAGTGGTAGAAGATCCCCTCCTCGTACCACCGCGGCGGCAAATCAATCTTTTCTGAGTACCCCATCTCACCAGGAATGGTGGTTTCAGACGAGGAGTAGTCGTTCGAAGCCTTAACTCGGACTCTACAACTAGATTTCCTAAATTCAACAGTATTTCACAAACTTCAATCTCGTCCTCGTTGAACAGAGACCGAATGCGCTCCGCCTCTGCAATACTCTCTTCCATTCTTCTTCTCCTTTTTCCTAATTCTCACGCTTTATCAATAATGAGTATTAAACAAGATAAATTTTTTTTTAGAAGAAAAAACTGAAAGGGGCATAAAAAGGAAAGGATTAGACCTTGGTTTTCAGAGAGATTTTTATTTGCAGAGGGCAGGGGCGAATTGTTTCCTGGAGGGGAAGTGGGATCTTTTAAGCAGAGGTGAAAATCCACGGGAGTGTAGGACTAGCTGGCTGTCGCCACGTGTCGTTCGTCCAGGGATGATGGGTTTGCTCTAGGGTTTACACGTTTGCTACAAAAAGCGTGTTGGGACACAACGCTTCTTGTGAGTGAGTGAGTACTCACCCTTTTTTTTCTTTTCTTCTTCTTTTTTGGTATTTTATAGTTTAGCAAACATTTTAACAATTCGACATGGACCTGGATTGGAATCTGACTCAGTTTCTGTTGGATGAGAAACTGGAAACTTACTGCAAAATGTTTCTCTTCCGAGTGCTTGATGTGCAAGTAACTGAGGACTAATCAAACCACTTTTAGATATCTGCCGATTTTGTGTACTTGCATATTGTTTTGATGATTATCGAAATAAATAAATTAGTTTTTTAGTTTGCCCCAACTATTTCCTATATTTTTGTGTGGTATTTCCACAGATGTTTTACTTTTAAAGACACTTGAATTGTTTTTGGATTTTGATTTTCCGATTATTACGTCAGTAGCTCAATACCGAACTTAAAGAAATAATCGACTCGACTCGAGAGTTTATCAAATTCGAGTCAGTAGCTCAATACCGAACTTAAAGAAATAATCGACTCGACTCGAGAGTTTATCAAATTCGAGTTCAAGATTGATCAGCAAATTGAGTTGAGGTCAAGTTTTAAAATTCTATACTCACGAGCCTAATCAAGTATTTTTTTATTTTTAATGTCTACTTTCATTTTTTATATTTATGAATTTTTAGTTTTGAGTTTTTAATTTTTTATTGATGGAGTCACTACTTCCAATTAGACATGGCTAATTTTGTTTTACCATTTTAATACTAGTTCAAGTGTTTTAACTTTGTAATTGCACATTGATTAGTGAAAACTTTCAATTAGATTTGTTTTAATTTAATCAAGCATGCTTCATTCAGCTAGATTTCAAGTTCTAGCTTGAATTCAGTAAAAGGTACTCGATGAGTTCGAGTTCAATCTCGAATACCCCTATTTGTTGATTAAGTATTCAACTCAATTCGGTTAAAGTTTTACCTAACTATTTCGAGATCAACCAGTTGTCCAATTGTTTCATACGATATGTCGCATCACAATTTACAAAACGCTAATTTTGTGATCGTTCCTGCACTTTTCCTGCAATGCGAGTCGAAAGCCTTAAAAACTTATCGCAGGCCGTTGCACGGTTTAAATGAAGCCTAGTGCTAATATCTATTGGCAGATCAAACATGCCTTTGCCTCTATTTGTTTTTCATCTTCACCTCGGGTACATATTGACCATTTTTCCGCCTCCTTTTCCTTCCCGACGAAAACTATCAACCAATTCAAACAAGTAATGTTAAATAATACATAGGAAAAAGGCACAATCAAAGATGTTGCGATTTTGGAGATTATGGTAATTTTTAACCACCAAATGCATTTGGGTTTGACTAGAATTAGGTATCTAGTATATTTTCTTATCCCTAGATTTTAGGCTATGCACCCTCTATTTTAGGTATGTCTCCTAGATTGTCTGTGACACTAAAATTAACAAATTTTTTCTTTTTTGAAACAATGAAACGACTGATAACATACAGTAGTAAATAACTCTAAAGCACGTATATACTAGTTGTTCGTGATATGGTACCATGATCACTCACGCAATTACCCCATTTTAAGTAGTAAGGGTGCAAAAAATTGAATAAGAACCCACATCACATCCACCTGAACAAGAATCCTTCAATTAAATGGTGCAAAGTAATTAAACTCGAAATCCTCATATTCATTGGATTATTCTCCACAAGACTCGGATCCATCAAAGGTTGAAGGGAATGAAACTTATCTATCACAACATCGCAAGTAAATTGAAACCAACCACAAAATGAGGGAAGTCTTGATGTTGATATTGATCAGGCTTTGCCCTGTTGTGTTATGACGGACGTCGTTCAGTTTGATCAGCTTCCAATTTGGCTGATGATGACGGTTCATCGCCATAAGGCAGCCCTTCATCTTGATCAATTTCCAGACTTTCCAATACTTCATCTGTACATAACACCTCTTGATTTAGATCATCAGCTTTTGATGATCTTGTCGATGATGGTACAATCCCACCACATTGCAACTCTTGACTTTGATCATGAGTTTCTGGTCCACTGGTTGATGATGGTTCAAAGCCAAATTTTAGCACTGGACAATTCTGTTCAAGTTTTACGTTTGCTGATGCTTCTTCACCGGCAACTTTCAGCTCTTGATTTTTTTGACCATGAGCTTCTATTTTGGCTGATGATGCTTTATCACCCAATTCAAACATTGGACTAAGTTCAATTTCCACTTTAATTGGAACTTGCTTTTGGGTTCTTACCCAGTTACAAAAGATTTCCATTTGTGAATGATTGAAAATTAAACTTTTCTGATTAGGGAGAATGAATCAACAAAAAGGGACTTACCTGCTGCAAATTCGGTTCCTTGGTCTCTTTCAACAGCAAATTGAAAGTCCTTTGATGAGTTAGAATCTTTTCTCACTCCTAATTTTAGAAGAAAGCAGGTCAATTTATTAGTTTAGTTCAAAGAAACTCTAAACTAACTCTAGTCGGCAATAAAGAATGTATCATCACAAAAACATTCTTCCTTTATATCGAGTCGTTTAAATCCTGCTTCAACCCTTCCGAAGCAGGCAAAATATTAATGCAAGATTAAGCAAACCGATAAAAAGATGTATGTTATATTTGGACCGCATGCAAGAAAACAAGAAAATCAAGAAAGCCCCACATAATAAAATAAGCAAAACTAAAAACGAGAAACACAAGCAAAGCTGCAAGAGCGAAGAAGGGGTATGCAAATTAAGGGCACACAGAATTAAACTAACCTCATTGGTCGTGTTGACTAGGTGGTGGTGGTGGTGCAGATAAAATATTAATTCCTCACCTATTCTTTTTGGGCAAACACTTTCTTTTCATGTTTATTTATTTATTTTTTTTTTGGGTGAGGCTAGCTTTTGTAAGGGGTGTAATCACAATATAGAAACTAATTCCCAACAAGTCTTAATCCACGCCCCGGGGTTAGACCATCTGGTCTTGGGCTGAACTCCAAGGTCAAGTGGTCGAATCCCACTTAACTCCCGGTGCGCTTGGGGTGGCGGTGTACTTGGGCGCAGGGGATTAGTCGGGCCGCCTTCGAGTCTTGATCGGACACCTCTGTGATGACAAAAAAAAAAAAAAAAGTCTTAGTCCACCGTAACTTCTTCCTTTAAATGGACAAGTAATATTCGGAACAACAAATTTGCACTTCTTAATTCTATAGCCCATTTATGGATGAAACTCTAAAAAGTGGTGCATGTGCTGCCTAGATTTTAAGGGCAAAAAACTCCGACGACTACTAATCTATTTTCTTGATAAACTCATATCCACTCAATTATTTTTTGATTTAAAATAGCCACTCAACTTGTAAATGTATATGTTAGTGGTCATTCCGTCCAAATTCAATGTTAATTCTAACGGATTGAGTTGCATGTGCATCATACATGCAAAAATCCTAAGTAAATTCGTCCAACTACAGAAGATAAAAAAAATTAAAATATCACTGAACTATACAAATAATATATTTTTAGCCACTCAATTATTTTTTATTTGAAGTTGGTCACTCAAGCTCAGCAAAAGTAGTTTATTAGCAGTCTTCATTCAAATTTTGTCATTGAATCTACTATTTCTATTTAGTTTCAGGGCTTCTATAAGTAATTCAAAGAACTTCATTATATGATTTAAATACTTTGTCAAAACTTATAAATCAGAATCTACTAAGACAACTCTTATGGATTCTAAATTTTATTTTTTGTACTATTGAAAAATCTAAAACTCTAAATAAAAAAAGAAAAAACTTAAAGAGATCAAAGTTTTGAATCAAGTGAAAAACAAAGATCTTAAGAGAAAAAACCGATACCATTGCAACTATTATACCAATTCGCTAAATTGAATGGGTAATGTCAAACAAAAAATCTTTTAGTGGCAAAAAATGTACAACTTGAATAGATTAGCAGTTAATAAAATTTGTTGCCCTTGTTTTTTGGTTGGGTGAAATTACCCTTGTTTTTTGGTTGGGTGAAATTACCCTTGTTTTTTTGGCATGTGAATTACACATGGAACTCGTTTTATTAGCATTAACAGCAACATTTGAAGGAATGGCCATAAATAAATAGACTAATTTAAGAGTTCAGTGACCCTATTCAAATACTAAAAAAATACTGGAGTGACTAAAAACGTATCAGCAAAATAGTTTAGCGTCCGCTAAAGGTTTTTGCCCAAGATTTGACCAACATCTAAAGACTCAGCAATTTGAATTAAACGACACTCCAGAAGCAATCCTGGAAGAAAATTGAGACGCGATAATCCCTAATGATATAACCAACCACTAATGTACTTAACCAGCTTTCTGTTTTTTCGAATTTTTAGCTTTCAGAATAAAATCGTCATCGTCTGATCCACTTTCTGAGGACGAATCAGCAATCTTGCATTTCTTTGACTGCTTTGACACAACTTTGGAATCCAGTGTCCTCTTTTTCTGGGTTGAAACTGCAGATGATGTTTTCCTCTTGATGGTAACAGAATCAACTTTGCTCTTGACGGTACCAACAGCTTTCACAGGTGACTTGACTTTTTGTTGCGGAGCCTTTTTCTGTTTCTTCTCAAAAATCTTCTTCGCCGCCTCCTTTTGAAGCAGACCAGATTCCATCATCCTGGAATTACATAAATGATATAGAACAAGCCTATCAGTCAATCAATCAAAGTTTTGACCACATGGCGGCTGGAAAAGACAGAGGTGGCTTAGCATATTGAACAATTACTGATACATAGAACATCTGTTAATTCTAGTGTAAATATTGTTCAGTTAAGTCCGCTATAACTTTCACCTCTATATGATAAAATGCTAAACAACATGCTTAAAGATTAAAGTACAATAAAGAGATTCAACTTTGCTTT